TTAAAGAACCAATATTTTTAATTTGCAAACTTGCTCCATTACTGATTTTCACCTAATTAAACCCACCATAATTTGATCAAAATTGAAGATTTTCTAACTTGAACATGATATGATGCATAGCTCCCAAGTTTGGATACCAGACCAGATCGCACTACTAGAAAATTCATCTCTAGAGGCAGCCATAACTGTCTCTAAAAGGATAAAAAATGYCTCTAAAAGAAATAGGAGGTGGTCAAATGAGTGCCTCTAAAAGCCCTATTGCTAAATGTTTAAGAGGCGGGTTTGTAATCTACCTCTAAATTAGACTTTTAGAGGCACATATAGAAGTAGTTATAAGTGCCTCTAAAAGTTCAATTTAGAGGCGCATTCGAACACCTTTAAATGCTTTTGAGGTGATTTTATATGCCTCTAAAAAATCTACGAAAAGGAAAAATCTCAATTAAAAAGCTTTCAATTTTTTAAAGGCACTTTTAGCTACCTCTGAAGATATATGCCTTAACATTTAGAGGCACTTTTGGCTGCCTCTAAAAAGGTTCCAACTTTTTTTTAAATAGTGCAATATATTGTAAATATTGTTCTATAAAAATTCTAATTGATGCACCTATATGAAAATATATTTTCAATCAAAACATAAAACCTGTATGTTTCATCCAAAAAATACACCTTATCTATAAATTGTAATAATTACAATTGACTTCTATCATCATTTTAATAACAAAAAGAAACCAAAAACACAACATTCAGACCTCATTATATTCCTTTTTACTTTTCACTAGATGACTTTTTTTTGACAACCTATAAATCAAATATAGAGTCCAAAAGAAATTCCTTTTTAACATATAAAGAAACAAAATTCTCTTTATAGTCTTCATCCAATCCTCTCTTCCTATGCAACCTATAAAGAAAAGCAACAAAAAGAAAAAACCAAACTAAGAAAATAATTTTTGTAAATTAATAGCTTTTATCTATCTAATTACATATAGCAACAAATATGAAATAAAAATAATTATACGAAGAGTTTAGCAGTCCAGTTCAATTATTGACCCATAAAATGAATTTGGTAGTAAATGATAACACAGTAAAAGAAATTGTATGAAAAGTTTACCAAAAAAGAGCTTACAACCTGCTTAATAACTTATTTGCTAAAAGACAAAGTAGTAAGTCATTCAGGTTGGCCACTTCAATTGTTATCAAATGGCTCCTAAGAGAACAAAAATTTATCCTTGAGAAGTTGCTGCTTTTAGCAATGCACATGGGCCTTTTTGGTATAGCAAAGAAACTGCTTTGTTACTGAAATAAGCTTATTAGACTGACCAAAGCTTTATTTTTCTTCTTGTAGGTGCAAAAAAGTTCTTGTGATAAATTTGATCCCACTTTCTACCCAGGTTCAAGAAATGGTGTGATGATTATTTCTTTATTAAGGTAGTCTTGTGATAAGTTTATTATTTATTCTGTTATATAAAGTAGTCTTGTTGATGTATATTATCTTTAATTCTTTGTAGGTGGCAGTTTGGACTAACCTCAAGGCCCTCAGCAAAAGGAATTACATAGCCTTCATTTGCACCAATTGTTGTGATTAGGTGGCCGGGGCAGTCACCATATCTTTCTAAGCCATTTCCTTCTCATGCAAGTCTGCAGTCACCATGGTTAACTTATTAACCATGAAGCTCCTTGCCTTCCTCATAATTGTCCGTGCCCCTCCAGCTCTCTCTAGGATAATTAGTCCACTTCAATTTCATATGTTCCAACCTGATTTTGTTCCTAGAGATCCCAAGACCAAGCCAAAGAGGTACAAATACCTTGCTTTCTATGATCCATATGGCCCTAAACCCCCACCTTGTGATGATTTTTAGTGAATATAAATGATCTTTGCAACATTTATATTATATAATGCAGATACTACAACAAAATCGGTCTATAGCACCACTATATATTAAAAAAACCACCACTATAGGTATTAGCGGCGGAAGCCTTTCCGCCGCTGTATGCACCGTCGCTATAGGTTCTAGCGGCGTTTATAACAACCACCGCTATAAGTCATCAATAGCGGCGGAAAATTTGCTATTGCGGCGTATGTATCCGCTGCTAAAAGACTATTTAATTGTCATATAGTGGTAGATATATCCGCCACTAAAAACAAACATTTTAGCAGCGGATATATGTGCCGGTGAATGCATAACTAGTGGCAGATATATGCATCGCTATCCGCCGCTAAAAGCACCTGTTAGAAAAAAAAAAAAACAAAAGTTTTAGCATCGGATACGTGTTCCACTAAAAAAAGTGATATCCGCCACTAAAAGCTCCTGTTCAAATTTATCCAACTTGATTAACCGAGATACATTTACAATTTATCCAACCTGATTAACACCTATAACATCACATAAAAAATTCAATAAAACTAAATTATTAATTAAAAACAAATGTACATCTTAATGTGAGTTCCATACAATAAGGATGTGGAAAATGTACAAAATTCTTGTTACATACAATAATAATTCAAAAAAAGATTGTATCTTCAATATCTTCAACAAAGCCTTCTATCATTCTTGTATTGGTTCCACCAGAGTGTGCATGAGGTAAAAATTGGGAAGAATAAGGTACACAGGAAGTAAATTGATGTAATCCCTACTTTATATAAGAGAGAATTAAGGTAGGAGGAAGTGATGCAAATTTTGCATCAGGTAATTAAAAATGCAAATCAAAGCCACAAAACAAGATGCAAAGCTGAAACAGGGTGCAAAATTTGTTTCAGGTTCATATTTACATTGAAGAAAAAGTAGCCAAAATAAATTTATTTTAAGTTAAATTGTTGTTTTCTTTTTTTGTATTTCAAATAGTGAATCATTGTATAATATGGGCACCCTCATCGTAACCCTTCTAAGCTTCCACATGTCTAAATAAAGAATATCAAAACTGCAAAAATAGTTCAAGAATTAGAAGGGTAAAAATCATCCTAGCCTTTGGATTTTATTAACAGGTGATCACATAGATGAGATTATTATATGGTGATGGATCCATGTAAAACTGGGAGACATGATGATTCAAGGAAAGGATGGAGCCATCTCCACCCTAGAAAGATAAAGGACATGAGATTGGAGAATTTATACCAAATAGAAAACGTTGTTGGTGCATCCTACCTAGCAGCAACGATTCCAAACAAAATAAAGGCACCATTTGGTGCATCAATGCCAAACATACACATATTATATAGAGTTTATCCATCTCTACACATAATTATTATCTACATGGACCATATATACCAGTGGTGAAGGGATGAGAGATCCATCGTATGGACGCCCGAATATTTCGGAATAGAATGAGCGAATTTCAAAAATTTCTCTCCATATTGGGAATCGTATTCCCTAATTTAGAAAAATCATATTTTTCAATGATCAATCTTGAACCAAGAACTGAACCAGATCTGAACAAAAACAGTAGGAGAGGGATATACCTGATACGAAGAAACAATATCTCCCAATGGAGGTGTTCATGCCCAAGGAAGGAATCAAAGACTGCTCCCACTGAAAATGACACAATGTATGATGGAACAAAATCAACAACGTTCTTCAAAAGAACCACATCCTTCGCAAGAATCAGCTGGACGACACGTGAGTACGACTTCTAATCAGCCCTTTCACAAAAGACTGATCTCAAGATCCAATCTTGATCACTCCCACTAAGAATAGGAAATCGAACTGGCAAATATGGCGACGGCAAGGAGGCGACAAGAAAGAATTTTCACAGATGTGTTGAATTCTTTCTTCTGTGATTTCAGCTCTGAAGAGAATGTGAATATGAATTTCTTTAAAGGCTGCCACCCCCTCCTCCTTTTATAAGATTAAAGGGATTAGCTCCTAATCCCATTAGGAGTTGCTGATCCAAATCATATTTGGATCAGAATTCCCTTTAAGTGATAAGGATAAACCCTTATCTTATCTGCAGATTAGATCAACCCTTTCATAATCTCATTAAAAGGTTTCTAAATCTGCTAATTTAATTTCAGAATTCGCCCCTCATTTAACTAATCAAATCAACCCAATTCGAAATGGGCTTTAGGCCCAATAAAGATATGTGCTCACTTAGCCTTCCAAACTGTTGCCCAGTTGAGCTTCCTTGTATGGTGTGGGACCCAAACATTGATTTACACATCAGCCACATGGATTCAGCCCAGCCTTTGTTAAAAGGCCTGACCGAATACACTATTATGGACAGTGCACCCCCTGAAACTCATCACATGGACTCTATGGACCCAACACTTACCCTAAGTGGTCATTGGGCCAAGGCACCTTGTAACACCCAAGGACTGTGGGCATATACAAGATTAGCCCATTAGGTATTACCCTCAATGGTCTTACACTTAACCTTTTAACCCATAATGATCAAACACTACCTGACAAGAGATGACCTCTCCCTCGGCTGCAAGGAACAATGTTACACTCTCTGTTCACATGGATCCCGGGAATTAAAACATTTTGCATAAATATATTTTGCAAAACAAAATTTCAACAATTGAAATCGGTTGCCGGTAGTCTTGGTTTCCATCAGAAAGAGTGCATCCCCGATCATTACCTTTGTCCAACAAAGGTGTTGATCATGTCACTATGATCACCCACTCAGATGAATTCTCGGACTGTCCTAACATACATAGGTTTTGACCCCCGCTAAGGATCTCATTAATTGGCATATCAAAGACAGTCCAATCCGACACCTAGTGCAATATCATAATCGAGTCTAGGAGTCAGGTGTAACTTTCCAGTTTTGCCCATCAATCTCTAAGGTCCAGGGCAATACTGAAAATCTGATCCGGTTCAAAGATTCAATTTATCCTACACTGCATGTGCCTTGGGTCTCACTTTGGTGGTTGAGACAGGCCACCCCCAACATTTGGCAACACATCAATATCAATTTTGATAAGATAAATCTCCACATACTTATGCAATGACTGTGAACATTCTAAACTAACATGAGTCTCATAAATGTGCAGTTTAAGGGTATTACACAGAAACACACCATAAGAACATGAATTAAATATGTATTTTATTCATTTAAAATAAATTCATAATATACATCATTCTGATTGAAGCTAAGGACATACAACTGTTTAACTGGGAGACAAGATGAGATTATTATATGGTGATGAATCCATGTAAAACTGGGAGACATGATGATTCAAGGAAAGGATAGAGCCATCTCCACCCTAGAAAGATAAAGGACATGAGATTGGAGAATTGGTACCAAATGGAAAACATTGTTGTTGCTCCAAGAAACATCCTATATGGCAGCAACGATTCCAAACAAAATAAAGGCACCATTTGGTGCTGCATCTGCAGCATCAATGCCAAACATATACATATTATATAGAGTTTATCCCTCTACACATAATTATTATCTACATGGACCATATATACCAGTGGTTCTATACATAATTCTAAGTTTTATCCCCCTTCATAAGTACTTTACGACTAGAAATGAGTCGGGTCAACTTGGTGTAATTTTTTATTCCAGTTTGGGCCAGTCCTGAACCCGTTTTAGAATTTAGTTAGACCGGATTTTTTTACTTTATTTTTTTAAAGACCCGGCTTTTGAAAGACTTACCAAGAATAAATATTGCTTAAGTCAACCAATAGTTGATCAAACCATCAAACCAACAAAAATTTATGGGGACCCACCATGTGGAATGGTTTTTAAAAACGTTAATGTTATATTGATAATGTGGATGCTTTTGTCAAATAAAATTTTCTATAACATACCTTGAGAATTTATTATAAAACTTTACATTGGTTCATAAATTTAAACATAAATGACAAATTGAGAGATGGCCTAGTTTAACCTACACTATAATGTTGACCAAATTTAGATATATCTCAAAAGAATACTGATTTTCACGGCAGGATGGATTGATCCATGAGATTTAAACATAGACAATACATAAAGAGATGGCTTTCAATCTACACCATAGTGTGTATATCAAATTGAGCTATAGGAACACTACTTTCACTGTGGCATAGATTTTTTTGTTTTCTTTTTGGTATTTGGTGATACACCCAATTCCGCCATAGGAGTCATTGAGTAATGCAGCACCACAATAATAATAATGTCCCCTCCCCAAAGTCAGTGGTTGTGGGAATCAAACCTGCATCTATGCTGGAACAGACCTGTTAACGTACCAACTAAGCCACCCCTCAATTGCCAGTGTGGAATGGATTGGTCCATAGACTAAAAAGTAGACGATAAATAAAGAGGTGGCCCAATTCAATCTACAAAGAACACTGTTTTATACCGCAGAGTGGATTGGAATGAACTGAGACATGATATTTTCAAATGAATCATACTACCAAACAACTCCCAAAGTCTTTTTATCAATAATTTTATCTGTTTTAATCATTAGCAACAATATCATACTGCCCAAATCACTCCCTTCTTTTTGAACTACAGTTRTGAAGTCCCCTTGGACCCTCAAACAAGCCTGGTCCACGCAAATCTGCATTCCCTACATGCATAGAATTCTATTTTATAAACAAGCAGAAAATAATTTTCTGATATTTGAATCAGTACTCTGTGCATGTTATTTTGTTTTGTTTTTTTTAATTTTCTTGGCGTCTTTTTCTTTGTTTGGTAACGCAATAACCATACTAGTTTAAAGTTGGCTGTTTCTTGTTTATTAGCTATCCCAAGATTGCTCTTTTCTTTTCATTATATGTCCAAGAGATATGAAAATCTGGAGCTTTTCTCAAGTCCTATTATTAGATATGGTTCACCAAYTAGTTCAAAATCAGAATGATTTATTCCCATAGTCTGCTGTTTGGTTCAGACAGGAATGAGAATGAGAATTGGAAACAGCAGGAATGAGATTTCATTCCCAAGGGAGGGGTAGGGAATKGTCATTCCCTCAAATGGGGGAATGCCATTCCAGCAAGAATAGGAATGGGATTCCGATTCCACCCAAGGGAGGGGTAGTGAGGCATAAGAAGGGCATCTTTTTGGTGT